CACCTCAATATTCCTTAAGGAATAAGGTTTTGAACTGGTCTCTGTTCTCTCTAAACTACAATGCTTCTTGCTTTCCTGCTTGTTGGAAACCCTTTTCTTTAGTTCTAAATATCGGCCAGTTAGTCTCTCTACCTGTTTTTGGTAAAGTACTAGATGCTCTAATCAACTCCGAATTGGTTAATCATCTCACCTCACTTATTCTTTCAGATAAGCAATATGATATTCGCTTCTCTAGGTCAGCTGTTGATGATTATTGCTGAAAGCGTCTATTAGCTTTAGATAAGAATGGTGAAGATCGGACTATTGCTTTGCATATCTTAAAGGCATTTGACAAGGTTATGATTTTTCTGGACGAATATTTTAACTGATTCAGTTGTTCTTATCGAATCGTGAAATGAAAGTGTTCCAGAACGGCAACTATTCTAGATTTTTTTTTGCATAAATGCAGGTATAACCCTGAGCTCTATCCTTGAAACTACATTGTTACTAATTTTCATCAATGAGCTTCCTGATGTCATCAGTTCTTAACTCTGTACCTATGCTGATGACACAATCATTTACTTCTGTCTTAATAGTAAGTTTGATCGGTTTGGTAAGGTCAAATTTGCAGCCGTAGATTTGATGTTATCTCTGCAATATTCTTTAAGAAATGAGCTCCTGAATTGGTCTTTGTTGTCTTGAAACTAAAACAAATGCCTTGTTGCTTCTTTCTTTCTTGTTGGAAATACTTTTCTTGGGTTCCAGTCTTTAGGAACTCAGGCAAACCATCTGATCCTTTTAACTATAGGCCTATTAGCCTTGTGCCTCTTTTTGGTAAAGTGCCACAGGCTCTAATCAACTCTGAATTGGTTAAGCATCTCACTTCGCAGGATCTTCTTTCAGATAAGCAATATGGCTTTCGCTTCTCTAGATCAACTGCTGATGTATTAACGATTATTATTAAAAGAATCTTTCAAATGTTGAAGCTCGGACAATTGCTTTGAATATCTTGAATCATTTGACAATGTTTCGTATACATGTCTTCTTCACAAGTGGAAAGGTTATTTTATTTCTGGACGAATGTTTTAACTGAGTCAGGTTTTCTTATCAAATCACGAAATGAAAGTTATCTTGAATGGCCACTCTCCTAGATCTTTTTCCATTAATGCAGATGTTCCCAAGGGTTCTATCCTCTAGACCTACATTGTTCTTCGTTAAAGATGAGAAATCATGCAGATTTGCGGTGTACTTTCAAATCGAAACACCTCTAATGATGACCAATAAGTTAGGCTAGGCTAGGCTATTTGATAGGCCCCGGAATAACATAGGTTAAACTATAACATATACATTCACCTCTGTGGCCAGAATATCCTATCGCATTTTACTATTGTGATATTTGAGGATACTATGGCTCCTGAAGTGTCGCAGAACCGCAGAGATTTCTTCTGTGCATTCTAACGTTTTATGTCGATTTTTAAGAGATATGAAACAACAGAAATGTGGTTCTACAGAAAGATGCGGTGGATAACATGGATCGAATATGTGAGCAACGACGATGTTTTAGAGAAAATGGAAACAAAAAAGACAATTATAGTTAACATCGAGAAGAGACAATTGAGATTTCTAGGGTACACAATGAGAACTGACGGCTTGGAAAATCTGATACTCACAAGACAGATTGAAGGCAAGAGAAACAGAGGAAAACATTGCATTACATAATGAGCTTGAGTAAATGGATGGTGGAATAGGGCTTAGGAGAAATAACAGAAATACAAAGTTTATTAATAGCTACAAGGGACAGGAAGTCGTGGAGAGCCATGATCGCCAACGTCATGAAGGAACACGGCATATAGAAGAAGAAGAATGAACTTGAGTAAATGGATGACGGAATAGGGCTGAGGAGAAATATGAGAAAGACAAAGTTTATTAAGAGCTAGAAGGGACAGGAAGTTGTGGAGAGCCATTATCGTTTTGAGGGATATGGCACATGAAGAAGATCTAATTCCAGAAATCTCCCCTATCTTTACCTTTTTTTTCTTTTTTTTCCCCTATCAATAGCACTAAATATCTATTCTCTCCCCCCACCACATACACAACTGCTTAGTAAGACAATCTTTGGCGGATGGCGAGTATTTGAAAATTTTGGTCAAATAAAAAATTTACAAGATTTTGAAAATACCATGGACCGAACACGCGAGCAACGAAGACGTTTTATAAAAAATGGAAACATAAAGTCCGCATACTTAACACTAGGAAGAGACATTTGAAATTTATAGAGGGACATAATGGGAAAGAAGGCTTGGAAAATTTGATACTCACAAGACAGAAGGCAAAAGGGAGAGAGAGAGAAAAGGAGAGGAAAGCAATACACAACATATAGAAATTGGAAACAAAAAGGAAACATACTTAAAATCTAGTAGAAATAACAAAAATACATTTATCGAGAGTAACAGGAAATTGGGGAGGGCCATGATTGCCTACGTCTTGAAGGGACACGGTACATAGAAGAAGAAGGTGTAAT